CTTCCTGGTTGAATGCACTTATTGTAAGTCGCTTTGGATAAAAGCGTCAGCTAAATGCAATGTAATGTAATGTAAAAGCTGGCTGTTCACAGAGTGCTGTATCCAAGCATATTCATAGAAAGTTGAGTGGAAGGAAAAAGCGTGGTAGGAAAAGGTGCAACAGTGATAACCGCAGCCTTGAGAGGATTGTCAAGCAAAGGCCATTACAAAATGTGGGGCAGCTTCACAAGGAGTGGAGTGAGGCTGGAGTCAGTGCATCAAGGGCCACCACGCACAGACGTATCCAGGACATGGGCTACAACTGTCGCGTTCCTCGTGTCAAGCCACTCCTGAACCAGAGACAACGTCAGAAGCGTCTTACCTGGGCTAAGGAGAAAAAGACATGGTCTATTGCTCAGTGGTCCAAAGTCCTCTTTTCAGATGAAAGAATATTTTGCATTTCATTTTGAAATCAAGGTCCCAGAGTCTGGAGGAAGAGTGGAGAGGCACACAATCCAAGTTGCTTGAAGTCCATTGTGAAGTCTCCATAGTCAGTGATGATTTGGGGAGCCATGTCATCAGCTGGTGTTGGTCCTCTGTGTTCTCTCAAGTCCAAAGTCAACGCAGCCGTCTACCANCTTCACCTGTTGCCATGTCAACGTTAAACGAATAAACGGAAAATGGATTGTTACGTCCCATCTATATCCTGTGTCTCGCACCTGTCAGAACTAACGGGCCTTCTAGCATACCCTGCACCGTGGGAAACTACGAAAGAAGACGCCCATTGGCTACAAATCAATATATGATTAGTTGATCAAACTGTCAGAGTGTTCGCTCTCATTCAGTGCAACGACCGGGGCCTTCTATCAAGGATACAGAATACCCACAGACGCAGAAACAGATCTGATTGGTTGCATTTATTTTCTAAAATGCGTAGTGCAAGGTCCGAGAAGGACAAACAAATCAATGTAACACTGTTTATTACAGATCAACAACACAGANCATAATTAAATCGATAAATGTATTTTTTTTTATCTGAGTTATCAGGGTATTCTCTGAATACCTTGAAGGCCCTGATGGTTCGCCACTGCTGTAATGGTGTCTTCACAGGTCTCACTAAAAAATCTATTAGAAAGCTTCAGCTGATTCAGAACGCCGCTGCTCGAGTCCTCACCAACACTAAGAAAGTGGATCACATTGCTCCAGCTCTGAAGTCTATACACTGGCTTCCTGTGTGTCAAAGAATATATTTCAGTATACTGCTGCTGGTTTATAAAGCACTGAATGGTTTAGGACCAAAATACATTTCTGATATACTGCTAAATTATGAACCATCCAAATCTCTCAGGTCTTCAGGGACTGGTCAGCTTTCTGTCCCCAGAGTCAGAACTAAACATGGAGATGCAGCGTTCAGTTATTATGCTCCAAATATCTGGAACAAACTCC